CTCCGCCCTCGCGGCGGCTGCGGAGCCGGGGCCGGGCGCGCAAGTCTCGGGGCGGGGAGCGTGGAGGCGGCCGGAGCGGACGCCCGGCTTTGCCTCGCTCGCGGCTGGGGTGTCGCCGCCGCCCCCTCCTGAGAAGGGAGGAGGATCCCCTGTAACGCCGTGTGCCCGCTTCTTGGGGACGCCGTGTGCGTCTAAGGCGCCGGCCGTGGTCGCGGGGTGGGTGGGGAGCCCAGCGCGGCTCCCCTGCGCCCGAGGACGCCCTGCGTGGGACCTGGGGCTCGGGCGCGCGTCGGGCGCGGTGCTGGGGCTGGAGCCCTCCGTGCGCTGGGCGAGGCGAGCGGGCTCTGCGTGGGGTGCTCAGAGGCGCTGCCTTGTGGGGTTCACTGGTCCTCCTGGGGGGCCCGCGCGGGGCGTGGTGCTTCCCCGCCCCGTGGGCCTCGCGCCGCGCGCCCCGAGGCACACAGTGGGTGACGCGAAAGCCTGGAGGAAGATGTCGGCCGAGCTGAACACGTTTTCGTAGTGTTCTTCGGTTTGCTCTGTTTCCAGGTGAATTTAGAAAGATGTGGAGAATCTCGATTTGTGACATTTTTATAAGCATCGTTTTGTCGTGGTTGTAGGTGGGCTGAGTTCTTCGCCTCCTTTTAGCCTGAGATCTGCCCGCTTTTCAGGCGTTGCTTTTGAAGATCTCAGAGAGGCCCTTAAAACAAGGTAAATTCTCCTACTACACATTAGCTGACAAATGTCAGGTATCTCTCTGTACTTCTTGTCTCATATTCTATATGGTTGTTTTTCTAAAAAGCACCTGTAATGAGACTTGTATTTTCTAAAAACAGACTGCAAATGGTGTGTGTATTTATCATGAACCGAATAAATTCCCCGAGCAGTGGCTTCACTCAACGCAGGCGGATGGCTCTTGGGATCGTTATTCTCCTGCTGGTTGATGTGATCTGGGTTGCTTCCTCAGAACTCACTTCGGTACGTACCTCTTCTCCAGGAGTGATATGATCACCTAGTAATGGTATCACTCTCATTCCATAGTATTTCTAGCAATTACTAGAAATCCTGACTGCAATATTTTAAATACTGTTGAATTAGTGGTTTTCTTTCATGTTGAGTCAGTGTCATTTCTAGTTAGCATTGTAAAAATGCCCTTTGTTTTTATGCAATCATCCTGCATCTTGTAGGGTTAGAGATATCATATTTTCTTAATATTTTAGATGAGTTTAGTTTTTTAATTCCTAAATTCAATTTCTCTGCAAATACTTTCTTTCTTTTCTTTTTTCTTTCTTTCTTTTTTTTTCTTTTTGTGGTGAGCAACCATTCAGGATCCAAAACAATTTTCTACCATTTAAAGTAGAAAGAATACTTTTGAAGTAGTGGTATAGCTCAGTGGTAGAGATTGGTCTAGCGTGGGAAATTCCTTGGCTTCAGTACTCAGCACTGCCCTAAAACAAGCAAACAAGACCTCACTTTTGGAAAATGAATAAAAGTGATCAGAAAAGCTTTCCTGTGCAGGTCCTTATTAATGCACATGCACATATGTGTGTGTCTGCTGAAGTATACAGTATGTGAGTGCCTTCAATTAAATACTGTCTTTGATGACCCATTGATAGCATTACAATATTTTGAGTTCACAAGTTAGTTTTTCTTTCTACATGTTTAATTCTGTTTGGTTAATAATTCCTACAAAAAAGAATTAGCTACATTTCAACTCAGTTGTGGGAATCTTAACAAAACATACAAAGGCAGACTACCATTTACAAACAAATTTAAATGTCAAAAGAGATAGTTTGATAGTATGGTTCTTAACATCATAGCTAAGTAAAACATAAGCTTATGAATAAAAAAAGATTCATCCTTTCTGGAATTAGGCTTGGTAGTGCAACAGGTCATTAGTTTTTCACTTTAAAACTCTCCAGTAATCTAGATTAACATTCTGTAGTTTTACGTCAAGGAAATCTTAATATTGGCAGAGAACTAAGCTTGGAAATTTTACAGTTTTAAATAAATTATTTTACTTGTCAGATAAGAAAATTTAGACAGATCCCTTGAATTGTATTTTAGCAATTTATATCTGAACAAAGTAAAATAAAACACAACTTATTTGTGGTAATCATTTCACAATATATAACTTGAATCAAAATGCCATATGGTACATAGTAAAAATATTTAGTTTCCTCAATTGTATCTCAGTAAATCGAGGGGAGGCTGTATAACAACTTTTATCCAAGAGCTTGTTTCAAGTTTTAATACTTCATCCAGATCAGCTCATTGGTTTGTTAAAAGTATGTAATTTTTCCTCTTAAGATATATCACACATTCTTGATTTTGCTGTTGTTTCCTTGTTAACTTGTTCTTTTATTTTCTGTAAAATGACAAAAGGGTGTAAAGTCTTAGATTGAGCTTTTTAGGAACAAGTATTTTGGTAACACCAGGTGCGGCGTTACAGTGTGGATCACTCAATGGCCAAAAGTCTTATTTTTGATGATGCCAGCTTAAACCCTTAGGTAATAGGGAAATGTCCATATGATTATTGCCTTGGTAAGAGTTGCAAAATGGTTATTTTTCTAAAGATCACTCTTTCTATTGGCTAGAATCCTTTAGGGAGAACTTTTCCACAGCTACTATTTAGTTATTCTGAAACACCTTCGTATGTACAAGTTGAGCATACCTTGATTTTTTTTTTTTAAATCTTTTTGTCCATTTTAGAATAGAATTACCTAGCAACTTCCACAGTGACTATTATAAATTCATTAATGTTTATATATTTTATGTTTGCTTTTAAAGCTTAAACTGTCTTATGTTTGACTACTGGAAGCCCCTTCAAGTTGACTTTGGGATCCTTTTAATATGACCCCAATAATCTTTAATTTTTTAATTTTGTTTGTTTTTATTTTTGTTTTCTGGCACAAGATGCCTTAGACTTACGTACATTTCTCTCTCTCTCTCTCTCTCTCTCTCTCTCTCTCTCTCTCGTATTTGCTATAGGGTCTCTGTGCAGATCAGACTACTAATTAGCCTCCTGTTCTCAGCCTCCCTAGCACTGGGATTACAGGCATATACCACCACTCCCTGTCTCAGTAGCCTGCACAGCACACCCAGGAGGGCAGCATGCAGATCCCTGGATTGAACCCTGGTTCCTGCACTTGCCTAAGCAGGTGCTTAGTTTGCTTAGCTATCTTGCCAGTCCACTTTCTCCTTCCCTCCTTTCTTCCCTCCTTTCTTCCCTCCTTTCTTCCCTCCTTCCCTCCTTTCTTCCCTCCTTTCTTCCCTCCTTCCCTCCTTCCCTCCTTCCCTCCCTCCTTCCCTCCTTCCTTCCTTCCTTCCTTCCCTCCTTCTTTCCTTCCTTCCAACAGGGTTTTACTATATTGTTGGCTTTGAGCTCACTGTGTAGCCCAGGCTGGCCTCAAACTCATGGATCCTGCTTCAGCCTTCCAAGTGCTGGGATTACAGGTGTGTACCACCACACCCAGCTTGTGTACATGTCTTCCCTCATACTTGGATTTGACTGTTGCCTCTAGGACAGTAGTTTCTGTTAGTACAACATGGTACAGACTGTCACCTGGTCCCTAGAATTGATTTTTTCCTTGTTTGTCAAGTTTTTTAGAGCTTTTCAGTGCACCCTTTTCAGTGTTTTTTTTATCTGTAGACAAAAATGCTAACTTTATATTGGTATTTCCAATTTATATGAAGATTGTAGGTTCTTGTATAACTTCCTAAAACATTAAACTTCATGTAATTTTCTTCATATGCCATTCTTTTTTTTTTTTTTTTTTTTTTTTGCAGACCCGGGTATTGAACTCAGACCCTTGCGCTTGCCAGGGAAGCCCTTACTCTACTGAGCCTTCTCCCCGACCCCTGCCATTCTATCTTGTTGCCTTGTTTGATGTCATTTCCAGTGTTTGGGCTGACTCTTCTTCAGCCCTGCCCACACAGCTCACAGTAGCTTCTCAGAAAACTTCCTTCACCTTCCTGAGCTGGTCATGATACTTAGCACATCGTGCTGTATTTTCTTTATTTATTGGTCTCCTATTTGACTGTAAACTTCTCAAGAGTAGGAAAGCTGGTCTTATTTTTCTTTAGCCCATAGTACAGGTTTGTTGCATGATAGGTTTTCAGTGGATAGAGAGCCAAACTTTTTTGGATGTTGTTGCTGCTGTGTTTGGCAAAAGGAACCTTTATATGCAAGGCAAATACAGTATCAGAAATGAATTTAGATTGTTTTGACCTTTCCTGTACAAAAAGAATCTTTTAAAAATTAAAAATCATATAAAGGCCTTTTTTTCTTAGAGATGAGTGGTAAGTTTTAAAGTCCTCTCAAAGTTCTCTGTGTAACTTTTTCCCTACAGTATGTTTTCACGCAGTACAACAAACCATTTTTCAGCACCTTTGCAAAAACATCTATGTTTGTTCTGTACCTTTTGGGCTTTGTTATTTGGAAGCCATGGAGGCAGCAGTGCACAAGAAGATTTCGAGGAAAGCATGCTGCTTTTGTAAGTTTTTAATTTTGTTTGTTGGGGAGGGCATAAATTTTCAAAGTTTAAAGATTATTAATTTCTTTACATATAGACTTAAAATTGTTTAAAGTGAGTAATGATAGAATACAAGAAAAACTTATTTTTGTCCAAAATATTAAATATATTCTAATCAACTTGATATCAGAATATCAGAAATCAAAAGTATAGCATTACTTTCCTTCTCCCTTACCTCATATCTTTTGAGTTGTTAGTTGTTGAAGTAGCCCAAGTCAGCTAATATAGAAAGAAAGGAGACAGGGACAGGAGTATCTAGAGTTTTAGGTAATTACAGGTTGGATGAGGATCATCTAGTAGTTATAAAGTCTATTGTAGAAATAGAATAATTCATTTTTATATATTGAAATTAAAACTATATTTCAGGACAAGTTTCAGGCATTGGAGTAGTCAAATTGTATTCTTTCATTAATCTCATATAACATGCTTATTCAGAGTCTGAACATATATTCATTAGGTAAGACAGGAAATTATGCTAATCCCCCAAAAAAGTACAGACAACAAAAAAAGACTAATAGAAACAAAAAAAGATACTGGGATTATTGTGATGTATATAAAAATGGTAGTGATAGTTTATGTAGTGGTAAATCCTCCTTGTAGAATTAGAAATTTTTATAAAAAGTTTCATGTATTTGGTACAGGGTTTCACTACATGGCTCAGACTCATAGTGATCCTCCTGTCTCAGCACCCTCAGCACTGGGATTATAGGCGTGCCCCACCACACCCGGTTTTGATCCTTGGCTCCCACAGGGCTGGCAAGGCATGAGGTGCCAGGGTAGAATGCAGGTCTTTGTGCTTGCCATGCATATGCTTAGACCCCTGAGCTAGCTCCATGGGCACAATTAGAAATTTTGAAGTTTTCAGAATGAAGAATATAAAACTATTCTTTATATTTTTTTTCTTTTAGTGTATGTGCAACATCTGATTTACCATTTTAACCTTTTTTCTGTTTTTCAGTATTCTAAGATATGTAAATTTGCCATTTTAACCATTTTTAAAGGAATTCAGTGACATTAAGTATACTCACTTTGCTATGTAACCATCACCACTATTTATCACTAGAACTTCTTCATCATCCTGAACCACAACTCTGTACCTATTAAACAAAAGCCCCTAGTCTTTCTTCCCTTAACCCTCAGTGGTCCCTGTATCTCTTTTGTCTTTTGGTTTGTACTTTTTTGGGGGAGGTTAAAATAGAATTATTTCCTGTCTTATGAGCACATTTCTCAAAAAAACATTTTTTAGGAACCTTACAATATTTTTTTTAAGGTGAAGTCTAGAAATTGCATTCACGCACACAAATTTAACTTACTAAAATATGAATATGTATATTTTGTTTTGCATGAGAAATATATATGCATCATGGAAATGCATGTGCAGTGAATGTATTTTGGCATATAGGAAGACATTGTATAATGTTATATGTACAGAAAATATAGAAGAACAAACATGAGAGAACAGTAAATTCTGTCATTCAAAGAATAACCACTAACAATATGTCCTGCTTTTCATTTTTTTGCTTTTCTTTTTTTTAATATTTGGTATAGGGTCTCACTACACATATTGAACTTGTAGTGATCTTCCTGTTTCCAGCCTCACCATGCTGGGTGTAGGTGGCTGGCTCAGTGCACCACTGGGCCTGGGGCTGGCATGGCATGTGGTACTAGGGATTGAACCCTGGTCCCTGCACTTGCCTAAGCAGGCACTTAGTCCGCTGAGCTGTCTTGCTGACCCTCCTGCTATTGTTTTTTATATGTGTATTTTTACTTTTTACAAAAATAAAATTTGTATCCTTATGTCCTGTTTTATAACTTTCCCACTTATATGTCATGAAGAACTTTATAATTTAAAATTACTAGAATATTTTGTATTTTTAAATTGTATTGGTAATAAATGTTCATTGCTGAAGGTAAATTATGGTAACAAGAGTAAGGATTTATAATCCCACAATTCTAAGACCAGTGTAAATTTTGATACTATCAATAGCTTTACACTCAAGTGTCCCAAAGATTACGCATAGCAGACACTGGCCTAGGCTTTGTCATTTGCTAAGCTGCTTTTATGTTTCATTCAATTTGTAATGATATTTTTCTAAACAAAATTTATCATATTTTATTTTCCTATTTTATTTAACCTTTGACAGATTTTTGGTTTTTTTTTTTCTGATATAAATAGGGATTTCATTATACTGTACTAATCTGTAGTTGCTGATTTAAAGTTTCTAAAAGTACAAGATGCATAATATTTTTAAAGCTCTTCTTACTGCCAAATTATAGTCAGTAATGCCTGTACCAATTCATGTCTCAGCAGTGTATGGGATTTAATCCTTGCCAGAATTTCAACAATTGGTATCTTTAATTTACATATTTCATGTTACTTTTCCTGTTTGCTGGACAGGAGAATTTCTATGTTGCCTATGTAGTTTTTTACTTCTAACTCTTTTTAAAAAGTGATTTATATTGGTTCTGTGAGAAGATGGACTTTTGTGCTTGAGTCTTGTTGCCAGTAGTTTGATTGTGGGTAAACTAGGCTTTGACACAAGACAGCTACTTGAGATTTAATCCTGATATGAGTTTTAGTCTCTCCTACTTTGATAAAATGTCAGTCTCAATTTCCTCATTAATAAAGGTAGAATGTTAATACCTAGTCTACATGGCTAAATACTTCCCATTAGCTACGATTGTTATTATTAATCAACTCTTACAGGATTATTCTGGATTTTTGGCTCTGTTTGAGTGGTGTGTGATGACTCCTGTACCACACATTTAATTGAATACTGTGTTTTATTATCTGTATTTAGTTTGCAGATGCTGAAAATTACTTCGCTGCATGCACAACAGACACAACTATGACTAGTTCTTTGGTACGTGTTTTTTTTTCTTGTTCAGCCATGGCAGAAAGAACTCAGATAGCTCTGATGGCCCCTAAGATACATTAGGAGCTATAACTCAATGTTGGTTGTTCTCTATGAGAATTACAGTGCTACTTTTCTTCCTTAAAGAGAGCTGGAACCTGGAGGTAAGCAATTCAGCTATCTGGGAAGAGCAGGGGGAGAGGTAAACTGCTTAAGGATAAGAACTAATAAAACAATCTTCCTCCCTCCCTCCTTTTTTTTTTTTTTTTTTCTTTTAAGCCGTCTTTCCAACTTCATGGTCTTTGATAATTTAGAAACATTTTTGTCTGCCATTGAGAATATATACACAAACTGTTCATTCATATTTTAGAGCAACTAGTACATAGGAAACACTCTAGGCTGTGGAAATAAAGTTCACAAGGGTGTGATCAGAATATACAATGAATATATAAAGAACATTGCTGTTCTTCCCCTCAGAATACTTCCTCTCATTTTGAACACACTTACCCATTGTTCTTGCTGCTTTCTGGCCTTGACTTCACCGTGATCCTCCTGGCTCGGCTGCCTAGCGCTGAGGTTACAGGCCTGTGCTGCCACACCTGGCTGTTCTTACAGCTTTCTGAAGCAGTTCTGGAACTCCTCATCTGTGTTTTTGCCAAGTATGATAAAAAAAATTCAGTGGATTTTTGTTGACAGGTGCCATCCAATGGTAAAGGAGGCTCATAAAAACATTACGGTATATCCTCACCCACTTCATTCAACAGACCTGGCACCATGTGACTTTTGGCTCTTTCTCAAAGTCAAAATTACAATGAGAGGTAAACATTTTTGTTTTAATTTTTTTTAAGTGTTTTTTTAAGAGGTAAACATTTTGAATTAATTCAGGTCATTAAAGGAGCTGTGATAGCACAAAGAAAGACACAAAGCGTGACTTCCACAACTGCTTCATAAAGTGGCAAGAACACTGGGTTAAGTGTATTCAGAGTGAGAGGGTTTAATGGCAGTGTGTCTTTTACTATAGTAATTTTTAAAAAACCTTAAACATTCATTTTTTGATGAGAGCTCTATGTTCGAGAGTATAAGAATATGTGTTTGACACACTGAGAGGGAAATTATATAAACAATACCTTTTACAATAGCACCAAGGAAAATGAAATACCTTGGAATTCATCTTACTAAAGAAGTCAAAGATCTTTTCAAGGAAAATTACAGTACTCTTAAAAAAGAGATCCTAGAGGATTTCAGAAAATGGAAAGATATTCATGATCCTGGATAGGAAGAACCAACATTGTGAAAATGGCCATACTCCCAAAATTGCTGTACAGATTTAATGCAATCCCTATCAAACTACCACCAACATACATCATAGAGCTAGAGAAATCATTCCTAAAATTTATCTGCAACCAGAAAAGACCTAGAATAGCAAAGGCAATCCTGGGCAATAAAGACAAGGCAGGAGGCATTACAATTCCTGACTTGAAATTATACTACAAGGCTACTGAGATAAAATCAGCATGGTACTGGCAACAAAATAGACCTGAGGATCAGTGGAATAGATTAGAAGATGCCGAAGCCACTACGAACACACTCGGCCATCTTATCTTTGATGATGGGGCCAAACATACTCACTGGAAGAAAGATAGCCTCTTTAACAAATGGTGCTGAAAACACTGGCTCTCTACATGCCGAAAAGTAAAACTTGACTCAGTCTATCACCATGCACTAAGCTAAAGTAAAATGGAGTAAAGATCTAAACATTAAAGCAGAGACACTAAATCTCCTGGAAGAGAAAGTAGGAGGAACTCTTGAAGACAGGAATAGGCAGAGAGTTCATGAACAAAAATCACATCGCACGGGAAACACATGAAAGACTTTAACAATTTGGACCTGTTCTTATTGAGAAACTTTTGCACATCAAAAGAAATTACCAACAAAGTGAAAAGGCAACCCATAAATTTGGAAAAAATCTTGACAAATAAGTACTCAGACAAAGACCTGTTCTCTAGAATTTATAAAGAACTAAGAAACACTAGGGCCCCAAAATTTAAAGACCCAGTCCAGAAATGGGCATCTAAGATGAACACACACTTCTCAGAGGACGAAATTAAAGAAGCTAATAAATATATGAAAAAATGTTCCACATCATTAGCCATTCGTGAAATGCAAATTAAAACGACATTGAGATATCACCTCACCCCAGAAAGAATGGCTATCATAAAGAAATCACCCAACAACAAATGTTGGAGAGGCTATGGGGAAAAGGAACCCTTCTGCACTGCTGGTGGGAATGTAGACTGGTGCAACCTGATGTGGAGACTCCTTAGAAAAGTTGGACTAGAAATCCCATTTAAACCAGGGAATATTCCTCTACTGGGAATATTCCTGGAGAATCTGAGAACATCATATAGTGATACATGTGTGACTATGTTTATAGCAGCACAATTTGTGATAGCCAAATCTTGGAAAAAAGCAAGATGCCCATCACCTGAGGAATGGATGAAAAAGATGTGGCATTTTTATACAATGGAGTATTACTCAGCTGTAAAGAATGATAAGCTCCAAGCCTTTATATTGAAGTGGATGCCACTTGAACATATACTCATAAGTGAAATAAACCAGACACATGTGTAAATATTGTTTAGTTTCCCTAGTATAAGAACTCAAAAGAAATACAAATAGGTATAATACAACTGAAAGGAAAGCAAGAACTTGAGGACTAAATAATTAAGAGAGGGAAAGGAGAAGAGCTAGAAAATATGACAGTGGCAAGCCATACATTTATATGTAGAAGATGGGTAAGGCAGTGATCCTGAGAATCTTCAGAAGATTTTTGAATGTAGCAGTTAATTGGAAAGATTCTCACCCTGACTAACTATATATATACTGACACCTGTAAACTAAGTAACTGCACTGAATATGGCAATTTGTAATAGTAGGTTCATGCTTGGAGTGCCTGCCATTCTAGTCTTCTGAATACGGGTTGCTTGTCATGACATGCCAGTTGCTGCTGTGCTGTCTCTCAGGTAGATGATTGTTCAGAAAGAAGGGGTGGTGAATGAAGGCAGGAGACAGTAAATGGAATGTTGCGGGACTGTCCTGCTACAAGGTTGTATATGGTTGGATTTCTGGAGTTATGTGTAAACAGAGTAATTATATAATTCTTTATGCCTATTTTTAAATATATTTTAATTTTTTAATTTTTTTTCATCATATTCTGTAGGGACTTAAAGTTTGACATATCAATGGTTGATGAAAAACACCTGTTCCATGTTATGCCTAAGATGTTTGATATTCAGACAGTGAGGTTAAGCTTAACAACTTAGGTTATATGGTAATAACAATAAACTTCTTTTCTGGAGGGTTAACAACCTAAGTTTGCAGACCAAAAATTAGAGTAAAAGGAGGGCTGCAAGGAAAGCCAACATTTTGGCCCTAGCCTTCCAAGGTCAATTAAGACTCAGGACATATGAGAACCTGTACTGTAACATCATGTAACTCAGTTGTGTCCCAAATTTTCTGATCAAGGAGATTATCGGGCCAAAGAGGAAAGTGTTTGATGATATAGAGTGTGCCTAAGGAGAGTCACATGGAGAGAAAACATTTTCTCAGGCTTTCGCAGAGAACAAATTGGCCAAGCAATGGCCTTGACTCATCCACATGGCTGACACTGACAAAGGATCTACAATCTGAGGTATAGAGTCTCATGATAAATCCTGAGGGGATTTCACTGACCTTATCAGATCCAAATGCTACCACTCTTGGTGCATAGAGCTTTATCTTGGTTTAACCATCCAGCAGAAAATATAAAAATGAAGTATAAGAAGTAAAGCCATGCTGTTATGTTGAGCTGTAGGGGACTCAGATCAACAATTTCTGACATTGCCAGTCAAGCGGAAGACCCAATACTATTATGGACTACTGGACTCTTTTAGAATATATTTTGCTGAGTTAACACACCTATAATATTCAAATGACAGAACTAAACAAAAAAGGGGATACAGATGAATGTCCATTGAATGTTCATTTTGTATCTGTGTATTCAAAATGGTTAGGATAGATATATAGTTACATTCTCTTAATGAATAGATTTGTTCTTACAGTGTTTGTAAATAGGATATAATGTCTGCATCTTGTATAGCAAATAACCACTAGGAAGAGAGTATGCAATGTGTTAATTATTGGAACTGTCCTACCAATTTGATTTGAAACTGTTTCATTGGTACTTGTTTCTAAATAAAATTATGGAGAAAAAAAATTTAAATTAAAAAAAGTATGTGTTTGAGGAAAGCGGAGAGGGAAGATTGAATGAAATAATTAGCATACTTATCGCAAGCATTTATAATCTAGTTGGAGACACTAAAGTCCATTCTTTTAATTAAGGCCATTTCTACAGCATCTCTTTAAAATATATTGTTCATAGTACTTTTCTTTCCACATGTGGCATTGTGAGAAAAGTTAAGTCACTCTAATGTACCAGTTGTGAAGCACGGGCTTGATGGCTTTATTGGAAGTACAGAATTACTGACTTTAGGACTGTTGTGTGCCAAGTAGGATACTAGGTACTAGGAAGATTTTCATTAAGCTTGGTGAAAATGCAATGTCTTGTTGAATCTTAAGCACTGACAAGGTAGTACCACTCCTCTCTGTGAGTGCAGAAGGCATAGTTGAGTTGGCAGCCTGCTTACCTGAGTGCTTTTACCTCTTAAGATGTCACATTGCTCTGTGCCAAATGTTATAATAAGTTTGATGTAATGCAAAGGTTGTCCTTTCCCAGACCCTATTGTCTTTTCATTTACGGAATTTCTTTTTATTCTCAAGAGTTCTAGAGTAGCAGGACTTAAAATAGAAATCAAAGAAATACAAAGTTGTTAACTTTTAAGATATAGCCTAGTTGAGGAATTGTACTTTAAATAAAGAACATGTGGAGAATATTTGTAAAAGTTAGTGAGGTATTTAAAATAACTTAAAAATGTGGACCTTAAAAGTGTGGTTAGGGCTGGCCAGATAGCTCAGCCAACTAAAACGCCTGCTTAGATAGAGCGCAATGGCCAGGGTTCAATCCCCCATGTTGCGCTGGCCCCAACCCTGGGGTTCATGAGATGGAGATTGAGACTGGGCTTGGTGGCATGTGCCTGTAATCCCAGCACTTGAGATGCTGAAAACAGAATCACTACAAGTTCAAATCTGTGTAGTGAGACCCTACAGAACCCGTAGACCCTGTACCAAATACATTTTAAAAAAAGAAGAGAAAAGTGTGGTTAGACAGTCTGACCTTAATTCTATTGTCCATTACTTGGTTATTTTATGTCTCTGCTTCTAAAGCATTTCCTTTAAAATATCTATTTCCTGAAGTTATTTTCACAACTAATGAGAAATGCATGTTTAACTGCTCTGAACTGGTATGTGGTACCAGTAAATACTTTTTTATTGTCTACTAACCATGTAAATGTTTTCAACAGTTTTTGTTTTTTTGTTGAAACTTAGATAATAAAGCAATTTAGCATATATATATATATATATATATATATATGCATATTTTTTTTCCCTCACTGACTGCCTTTCTCTTTAGACCATGTGATCATTGTGCTTTCTTATCCCCAGAACCTATAACAGTGCATGACAAGTAGGAGCTCAGTGTGTTGTTTGTTTTAGGGGAGACAGAGAAGATCATTTGTGTTGCCCAGGCTGCCTCTGAGCTCCTGGGCTTAAATGATCCTCCTGCTGCAGTTTCCTGAATAGCTGGGTCTACAGGTTCATGCCACCATGCTTAGCGCTTAGTAGTTAACTTTGTAAAAGAATGCATGAAAAGGGCTGGAAAACAATGTTAGCTGAGAGAGAGGTCTGTTTGTATGATATTTAAGTATTGTCACAATGTGCCAAAGTTCTAGACACTGATTCTTGTCACTGTCCCTGCGTGGATCGGTTGAGCTTCCTTCGTAAGATTTTAACCTATATTTTAGAAAAGTTATGCTGTATAAACATGATGGAGAGTAGCTATGTTTTGGATGGTATGTGTGTCTACATCCCTTCCATTTAAATTTTAGTATCTCAGCTTTCATTTGGGCTGCTTATGTTTGTTCCTATTGTGTTTCAGAGCGAACCACTGTATGTTCCTGTGAAATTTCATGACCTTCCAACTGAAAAAACTGAGAGCACAAACATTGATACTGAAAAAAGTGAGTAATTTCATGACTAAGAAGTAGATGGAAATGTTAGCTTCTTCAGGCATCCTCAAACTTGCTGATTTTGTGGGTTGTCTACCATTACCTGCTAGCTTTGTTTCACATGGATTGACTTGGCCTGAAGTGTTCTAGAAGTTTGAATGGGTTGTTTTTGTATCACTTCAACTAGAAAGTACCACTGGAATCTGTGGTCTCATGTGCATGCAGTGTGTGTGTTTGCAGTGCTGGTGAATGAACTCAGGACCTTTGCACTAAGCTGCATCTCAGTCCCCTCTTTAAATTTATTTTGAGACAGTCTTGCTAAATTACTGAGTTGTCCTCCTGCCTCAGCCTCCCAGATTACTGGGATTATAGATGTGTACTACCACACTTAGCCTTTTGTTTTCCTAAATGAACACTATTTTGTTGAACATGCACTCAAAGACCCCACTATCAAGCAATAGTAGTTTGCAACATCTGTCAGAAGGATGCTAGCTTCGCTGTGAGGCATTTATCCATAATCTCCTTTACAAGGACTGAGCCAAGAGAGGAATGCAGTGCATGCTTTGCCAGGAAGAGGATTTTCTTAAGTTGGGTATCTATGAATAAAAATCCAAATATGAATGCTAAAATAATAATCATATGAAATCCTGAGCCAAGTGGGAGTTTATACACACGTTTGCAGAAGTTTTGTTTGAATATTGGGTCTCATTTCTGACTTACCTATATAACTTCTTTATAGATGGAATTATTTTTCCAGTTCTTTTGAGTAAGTAAAGCTATAGTATATCTGATTTTCTTTGAGTATTTTACTCTGATAAAAAATGAATTAAAAAATATCAATTTGTGACTCAATTAAAATTTGTACTTTAGTTATATGAAAAGGCACATGTGATGATTTTGTACTATGCTTTTCTTTGCAGCTCCCAAAAAGTCTCGAGTAAGGTTTAGTAATATCATGGAGATTCGACAGCTTCCATCAAGCCATGCATTAGAAGCCAAGCTGTCTCGCATGTCCTATCCTACTGTGAAAGACCAAGAGTCCATATTGAAAACAGTGGGCAAACTGACTGCCACTCAAGTAGCAAAAATTAGCTTTTTTTTTTGCTTTGTGGTAGGTCTTTTTAAAAAAACTTTTAGATACTATATAGATGATATTTATAACAATAATTTAATATTGAAGTATAGGATGAATGTGACATTAGGCTGCCATGTGATATCATTTGGGAGAATATAAAAGTTAAATGCTTATATACCTTAAAAATTTAGAAGTCAGTAAATCCTGTGACATGTATTCATATGCATACACACACACACACACACACACACACACAATTTTGAAATTTTCAGAATTTACCATTGCCTCAGGATCAGAACAATGAAGAGTTATTTTATACTGTGGTTTATACAAGGGCTGGTAAATATTCAGATAACAGTTTATTGTATGCATTTAATTCTTTAGATCAGTGTTTTTATATTAAAGTTTTATAAATATATTTAAGTATTATTTTAGCAAGTATTCAGTGATTGTTTTTACAGAATTTCTTGCAGAACAGATAAGATCTCATAGAAACTGGAAACTGTACCAAAGATATCAAGATGAGTAATGGTACAGTAAGTTTATATTTTGGGCTACTAGAATCAGAGACTTGCCTGAGTTTGAGAACTCTGAAAATGAACTTTAGGGCTGCTTCATGTATATATTTTATTGGAAGAAACCTAATACAAGATTTTTTAATATGAGCCTTTATGATTCTTAAATTTATGCCAAGCACCTTAGACCAGTGTAGTATGCAAATGTCAGAATTATTTGCCTGAATTATAAGGTGTTTTGCTTCATAATTTTGCCCCTTATGCTCATTGAGCAACTTGTTTTTCTGTGTCATACTCTGGCCAAGTAGCCTCTACTTTAGTGCTAATTTGACAAATGTATTCCTCTGCAAATCCAAAAAGAATCCTTGGGAATTGTTACATGATTTTGGAAAAAAGAAAAAAAATATATATGGTTATAGTAAAAATAGTTTAAAGGGTCATATATTTGGGTTATGCTCTCAGTTGTGACTTCTGTGTGCATTTAAATGCATAAAGCAGGACTAAACTTTTATAACTGTATGCTTCCTTTCAAAGTTGCCTTGTGGTGATACGTAATGAAAGCATCTCACTAGTAAACATTAAAACAAGACAGATTAAGTAGGTATGAGGGCAGGATTTGGGGAGAGGAGTTTAAGTCAAGAGATTAAATTTAAAGGGAAAAATCTCCCCAAGGTGGGCATATGACTCATTTATACACTGAGTGGCAGGACGGCCAGAAGAAGACCTCTGAGTTATGCACACTTCTTGTTTATTGAAAGGTGGTATCTCCCTTCCTTGGATATAAAGCAAAGCTTTGCTTTAATTTTAAACAGAAAACCAAGGATCTGTGGAGCATGTGTCCAAGACCTTGAGTGTATGCCTGCAGTTGGGAAGAGTGCTCACCCTATATAGATTGTCTTTTTTCCCCCCTGTAAATACATAAAACTGAAAAATTTTCATTTCTAAATTAGGGATATTTAGAGAGTAACAACAACAATAACAAAATAGAATAATTGTAATAACATATATTAGGCTATTCCTTATTACCATCCCAGGCAACTGTCATTCTGCTTTCTATGTCTCTGAATTTGACGACATCATTTGTCATTTTGTGACTGCCTTATTTCATTTCACTTAATATCCCATAGGCTCATCCCTGTTGTAGCATGTACCTTATCACGGTGGAATGAGATTTCGTTGTGTAGATACACTGCATTTTACTCATTCTTTTATCCATAGGCACTGGGGATACTTCCATCTTAAGAGTACTTTTTAGAAAAGTTAACCTGAAATACATTTTGAGAGTTAGTAAGATTTGTAAGTCTTCAGTAAAGGAAATTTTATAGAAAGTTAGAGTAAGTCCAGGTATATACCTTTTTGGAAGTCTAACTTAATAAAAGGATAAGCTTAGATAAAATCAAGAACAGTGCTGGTCAGTAGAAATCATTTTTTTATTTTTTTTATTTTTTTATTTTTAGGGATCTACAGGGTTTTCAGGGTCTCATTGCTAGATCGGACGGGCAATGATCCACCTGTTTGCAGCCTCCCAAGAGCTGGGATTATGGGCGCATGCCTCCATACCCAGTCTCAGTTGCCATCTCAGCGTGCCCTGGGGGCAGGGCCGGCACAGCAGACCAGGGGATTGAACCCTTAGTCCTGTGCCTGTTTGCAGGCGCTTTAATCCGCTGAGCTATTTGGCCGGCCCTAGAAATCAATTTTTTTTTTTAATTGATGCTAATTTTTACGTTATTTTTAATTCTGTAGACTAAAATATTTCAAGATGAGATCACTCATTGATAGGGTAATTTATACTTTTTTGCACTAAAATCTAAAGCCTCTGTGTATGTACTTAAACTTGAGTTCAAGTTAGCCAACTTCAGGTACGCACTATTATATGTGTAATAGCTAACGTATTAGTGTGGGGGAAGGAAGTTTGCATTATTAGGACCTAAGGTGGTCTGTTTCCCGTTAAATATTATTTGTTTGATAGTGCCTTTTATTACATATCGACAAGGAATTAAAAACAGCATCTCAGAGATATTTGCACTTTCAGTTTTATTAGACGATATTCACAATAGTCAAGATACAGAAACAATTTAAGTGTCCACAGAAAGATGAATAAAGAAAATGACACATTCACACACGCACACACTTGTGCACACATACACAGAGTAATGTTTTTAACTTACAGATTTATAAAAAGGAAATCAAGCCATTTGCTATAACATGGATGAATGTGGAGGACATTGGTTTAGTGAAATGGGCCAAGCCCAGAAAGACAAATACTTGTGGTCTCGCTTTTATGTGGACTCTTAAAAGTTGAATGCACAGAGCAGAAAGCAGATGGTGGTTCCAGGGGCTAGAGGATGGAGGTAGTGAGATTTCAGTGGTAAGGTGTGTGTTTTATGTTTTCCATCCCTGTGACCGCAGGGAAGAATACCTCATTGTTTACTTGGAGTTTGATAAGAGTATTTATTTTTAAAGAGAATAAAAATATGGTTAATAAAACCATTAGAAATGGTACAGTATTTCACTAAACAAAATGATAGGAATTCAACAGTGGTTGTTATATTGTATATGGTCTTCAGATTAGTTGCTCAGATTACCAGGTATAAGCATGCAAATAAGTCAAAAATTATAAAAATTAAAGAGAGAAAAAAATTTAAGCATTAACTGCTCCTTTCAGTAGACCAGCAGAAATCAACAGGACACTTACCTAAGCTAACTTGTATACATACATACATATATTTTTTTTTCTTGTCCTTCTTTTCTCTTTTCCCTCACTGCATTTGTTCCTTCCCTTTGAACAGTTTGTATAAGAACTTGAAACAGTAAATAAATCTGAAAAAGGTACAATAGATACTGTGAAAGGGAGAAGAACAATTTTTAAGGGTTGTTTACATACACACAGGTATGGTAACTACAGGTGGTGATAGATGTGCTTGACTGTGGTAATCAATGCTAATGTGTGTAGATGCATATGTATTTCAAATTACATTGTATACCTTCAATATACAATTTCTATTTTCAAATATTTAGAGAATACATGATGATAATTAAATGATATAATTTAACATAATTTAAAAATGAATTACCACTCAAAGAAATTACATTAATTTAATTTATTTGTTATAATTATGGTTAGTAAGATGTCCTCAACTCTGGAATAGCAGAGGGAAACTGTATGGATAATTTTGTTGGAGGGCAGTTAAAATTGGTCTTTGTAATGACAGTGCCTTGAGCCTGGGAGGCAGAGAAGAGGAAGGCTTCTGTGGCGTTTGTAGCTAGGCGCTAGTTCTTAAGTTCTTTGAATACCTGTAATGTTTTTAGCTAATTATCCCATTTGTAAGCATTATCTGTTCTTTCAGAAAAGTTTCTGAAGATAACATCAGAATATGCCTCTTTCCCAGTGCTTCACCTGTAGGCAGACAGATTATAGCTTTTGCGCCATATATATTTGATATCACATATTTCAGCCATTGAGACTTCCTTTTGTTGTTAGATACATGAGTGAAATTATCTAAGAAGTCAGAGGACTACAGATTAGACCTACCTTGCCAGTCTTCATCTGGCCTTCGCCTTGAGTGTGGTGTACACCAGATGGAGGCTACTATACTCTTAATCATTTGCTGCCCTTTAGTAGTGCTCTACGATCATGTATCTGTGGTACTTCTTTGATATGATTATAGTTAGAATTATTCAGTTATTCTCATTTAGCTGAATCTTCTGAGATATGTCAAGAGCTATCTCTATTCCCCCCCCCCCCCGCAAACACCTTGGTACCAGGAATCAAACTCACAATGTTTTGCTTGCCAGACAAGTTCTTAAGCTGTTGAACTATGTACCTCACAAGTTAATCTGTATAACAAGAGATGTCAACAACAGCGCTAGCAATGTCTTTATTTCAGTCGATGTAGCAATCCACTTCTTAGAATATACTTTAGTGACACTCATGCATGTAATCCAGCAGGTAACGTACTAAATGTTCATAGTAGCATTGCTTAAAATAATAAAAGCAACCCATTCACACACACACTAAAAATGAATTATCACTGAAAATAAATGATCTTTGGGTACACACACAGCCAAGCTTCACCAAAAGGAAGTATTACTCCATCATCAGTGCAGGCACACTGAATATGAGAATGTCCTAATATAAAACAGGTAATGGAAAAAAATACGTCCTCATAGTTAGAGAACTTCTTTCACTATATCTAAAGTTAAGAGAACTCTGTGTTATATCTGAACTGAAAACCAAGAACAATCACAACTAACCAGGAAATATAGTTTTCATAGAACATTTCTGGATTTCCTAAATAAATATGAACACATTGGTATACTATTTTGCTAGTTCTCTCCATATCCATGGACATCATCTACTTTAATAGACTTTTCATTGTGTTGTTCATCTATATGTTTTAATGTTTGAAAAGTTTTCCAAATTTAAATTGGATTTAGATAAACAGTGGAGTTCTAATTGTGCTTGGATAAAGAAAATTTTAAAGTTACTTTTTTTTTTTTTTTTTACTGTTTAGGGCAGGGTCTACAGGGTGTTCAGGGTCTCACTGTTAGATTAGACTTGTAGTGATCCACCTGTTTACAGCCTCCGAAGAACTGGGATTACAGGCACACGCCACCATCGCGCCCCGTCAGCGCATCCTGGGAGCGGGGCCAGCACAGCAGGCTTAAAGTTAATTTGATACTCATTTTCCTTCATATTTTAAAATATCTGAATATTAATTTTTAATGAAGCTTTGCTAGTTTTGTAATGGAAGTTGGATAGCAAGACTGTAGTTGTGGTTTACAAGTATTTCCCCTTTTCTTTTGCAAGGCCTGTGATTTTAATAGGAAGCTTTAAAAAAATCTATTAGTGTTTGGGAGGAGAAAAAAGGGTTAATTGTAATGGCAGATCTAAATATGCCCTTCACTAGGTTTCACTTTGTCTTTTCTTTAGTGGTTTTTGGCAAACTTGTCATATCAAGAAGCACTTTCAGACACACAGGTGGCTATTGTGAATATTTTGTCTTCAACTTCTGGTAAGAAATTTGTCTTTAGCATCTGCATTGTAAATTTTTTTTGCATTGTAAATTGATATATTTCTTGTGTATGTGTTTTCATGCACATATTTCTATCTTGTTATAACTTTATACATGAGTTATAATGTGCATTATAACTGCTTCCTAATATTTATAGTTTCCTGCCTTAGCTTTGTGCTACTTAAGTACATTGTACTTTTTTATTGACAATATATTGAAGTTGTACAGGTTCGCTGTTTGTGTTGTAGTTGTCTTACTCCGTATAAACCTTTGTTAAAGATCTTTTTCTAAATGCTTTGGCTAAATGTAATTGCTTATTTCAGAACTGTAATTTGTCTTATGGTAGGTATTTTATTTTTAAAAATTGAATCACTTTCTAAATCTGGAAAATAAGTATTTTTGAAGCCGTAAAAATAACTTTGGCACACAGGCTTAGGCTTAGTTGTGATGAGGTGACAGTGTTACTCTGAATGCTCAGTTTAGCTTCTTTAAAAATAAATAGGACTATACTTGCTTGATCTGTATTGTTAAAATAAGCAAGATTTAGTTTAGAGGCTAGTTTTGCGTGTGATCTTTGTATATTGCAATCTAGGTAACAAAGTCTCATTCTCAGTTATTTAAAATGACCAAAATAATAGTTACATAATTTACCTAAGCATTAAAATGAAAATAGTACTGTTCACAGCTCATGTACTTCTTTTTTATTGTTTCTTTTTTATTGTTTTCTCCCAACAGGACTTTTTACTTTAATCCTTGCCGCAGTGTTTCCAAGTAACAGTGGAGATAGATTTACACTCTCTAAGCTACTAGCTGTAATCTTAAGGTAAAATACAAGTAATCTAGTTTACTCTGCTTAGAAACTGATGTCTAACTTTCTAGTTGTGATGCAGGATAGTTTAATAATACACAAAGATGAGGATGGAGACGATGATGAACGGTGAACATTCTGTTACTCAGCCGTGCTGTATGTGCGAGCACCGTTGTGCAGGCACTCGATGGTAGGGTAGCTGGGCGGGAGGGACCCCACGGCAGCTTTGGTCGCCTGCGCGGAACTGCAGACCTACTGAGGCTTGCGCTGCTCTCCTGTTTAACTTAGTGCGGAAATGGGTCGTCATGATTTCCAGGGAATCTTTTCCTAAGACAGTTTCCTCTTTTTGTTGTGGCTTTGATTTGTCCTTCCTCTACTCTGCCTAGAAGTCTAACATTTAGTTCTGTCTCAGCCTACAGTGATTTTCATTTATTTTCTGTATAATTCACTTGGAAATTTTACACTACATTATTTTTCTTGTGTATAAAGGGTATGTCTGTAATGAGGATTAAATGACAACACAAGTACATCACTATACTTAGAATATCATTGGCTATAATTATGTAATCACTAGATTCTTAACAGTTTTACCTGAAGTTGAGATTAATTTTGATCATTTATAAGTAATTTTTATAAGGATAGTCTTTCAATAGTTGATATTTTACTAACAGGAATGACTGGGTTTTTTAAATTCTTTTTTATAGCATTGGGGGTGTTGTGCTTGTTAACCTGTCAGGGTCTGAAAAGTCTGCTGGAAGAGATATGACCGGTAAGTGGGACTCTCTGTGTTCTCTGTTAGTAAGATTGTCCGGTTCTCTACTTACCTTCACGCGTGCATGCACGTGAGAGGGGCACTAAGTTGGGCCTTGTTGTTTTTCAGTTTCTCTTTTTGCAATAATGTGAGAAAGCAGTATAGAATTCCATATAATCTTCACCCAGTTCTCCAGATGTTAGCAATTTACGTAAGTATAGATACAAAATTAGGAATTAAAATTTATTACAGTACTGTTACCTATAGACCCTTTTTCTTTTCTGTTTTTTTTTTTTTTTTTTGGCGGGCCCAGGGATTGAACTCAGGCCCTTGCGCTTGCCAGAGAAGCGCTTATTCCCCTGAGCCATCTCCCTGGATATAGACCCTTTTTAAATTCATCCATTTGTTTAGGTAATGTTTTTCAGCCCAGGATCTTTTGCTGCCTTTAGCTGTCATATCTTGTTAGTTTTCTTTAATCTCAAACTGTTCCTTTGTCTTTTGTCTTCTATGACCTTGACACTTTTTTTTTCTTCTTTAAATTAGTACAAGGTCCACAGGGTCTCACTATACAGGTTGGACTTGTAGTGATCCTCCTGTTTTCAGCCTCCCAAGTGCTGGGATTATAGGTGTGTGCAAGCACGCCCACTCTCAATTGCTGGCTCAGTGCTCCCTGGGTCGAGGGGATGGTGCAGCAAACCAAACCCCAGTTCCTGCTCTGCCTAAACAGGCGCTTTAATCTGCTGAGCTATCTGACTGGCTGACCTTGACACTTTTGAAGGATACTGCTTAGACTTTTTGTAGAATACCTTTGATTTGTCTGATATTTTCTTATGGTTAAATAGAGGTTGTGCATTTTGTGAAGAATATTGTGAAAGTAGTACTATGTCTGGTCTAATGTTGATTTAACTTGTTACTAGTGGTATTAATTTTAATGTGGATTCTGCCTTCTTAGTTCAGTCTAATGATAGTAATTATTCTCTTTGTAAGTAATCTTGTTGGGGAGATACTGTGAGGTTATATAAATAGCCTGTCCTTATTGTACTTTCCCAAACTAATTTTGTCATTCACTATTTGATTCTTGCCTGAAACAATTACTACTATGATAAATGTTTAGTTTTTGATCTAGTGAATAGATTTAACAAAAACAAAGGTAAGCAGAACCCAGTTTAGTGGTTCTCTGTATATGTACTTTTTTAGAAATTTGAAGTGTATTGTCTAAAACAGTGCTTCCTAAACTGCCTTCGGTTGCTGCTCAGTGAACTGTGCTTTGATCCACCTTACTCTTGCTCAGAGCAGTTTTGTTATGTGGACAATTTATTTTTTTTTACTTTTATTTTGGTATTTTAGGGAGGGGTCTACAGGGTGTTCAGAGTCTCATTACTAGATTGGACTTGTAGTGATCTGCCTGTTTACAGCCTCTCAAGAGCTGGGATTATAGGTGTGCGCCACCATGCCCAGTCTATGGACAATTTATATATTTTTTTGTGTGTGTGAAGTTTCATTGACAGGCCTTCCCTTTGCTTTAAAAAGATTTGAAGATGGTCTAAAAAAATGCAATAAAATGTGAACTTTTTGAATAATTGATTGTAGTATTGAGTATGGTCTCTTTGCAGTAACACACCATTTTAAGGGTTTATCAAATGTTTTTAAAGGTTTTCAGAAATTGTTTTAAGAGTGAATTAATGAAGAGTCAGTATTTATTACATACTGTGAATTCTACATTATAGTATATATTTTGGAACATTTACACATGTAAATTATGTGTTTGTAGTTTCTAAGAGTTCTGAGTTGGTAACATGATGATATTTACAAAACATAGCGCCCGGTAAGTAAAGTAATATTGCACTTATCCAAAGTAAATGTTAAATTGTCTAATACAGAAGACAAGTGGGTCGATGATTCGTCAGAATAGAGAGAGGATGCTTTGTGGAAGAGGTAGGGTGGTGACAAACCCTGACAGTGGAAGTGGGCGTGACTGTGAGAAATACTTGTGGGGTGGGAAAATAATACTAATGTTTTAGAGATGGAGGGAAACAGCATGTGCTATGTTGGACAGTGTCCTATATCCAAATTGTTTATGTAGGAAAGATAGTAACTGCATTTCCAAGTTAAAAGCAAATGGTACTTATGTGAGTTATATTATAATATACATAGGTGTTTGATGAGATCATTGAGGTAAATGCTTTTGCATTTATTTGTGTACACATAACATTGTTTCCTATGCTGGTTGAGGATATGTGGGGGATAGGTTGGCTTATACCTTATCTTTTCACTTCTTTATACTTCTAAAAATAATATCTAACATATTATTAGATTTTAAATTAGATTTTAGGCTTAGATTAGACTTTAAGTGATTATGTTGTTTCTTTTTTTTTTTTTTTAAAACAGGTTCTATTTGGTCTCTTGCTGGGGCCATGCTGTATGCTGTGTACATTGTCATGATTAAAAGAAAAGTAGACCGAGAAGATAAGTTGGATATTCCGATGTTCTTTGGTAAGATTGTGTTTGTGAGGGTGTTTACTTTAAATGATTAGCTTAGTTAGGATTCATTTTGATTGTTTAAAACTCCTTTTGAAGATTGTGAAGTCTGATCTGTTTTTCTCTTACCTTGTTCTGCATTGTTGTGTCCATATGAGGTCATACCTGTTCTGTTAATGTGAGGTAGAAAAAGTAATTTCTCCTGGTATCTTTTGCATTAGTATCTTCAGCCTGTGAATCCATTTCTTTAGTGATTTGTCAGAATTGTCCTACAGCAAGCATGAGAACTTACCTACTATATTATATATTCTGCTGGTAGTGTAATAGCAGTAGATACTTTGGAAGCTTAATATTAGCAAAACTGCCTAAAATGATAAATATAATACTATTTTAGACTATATTTACTTACTATAAAAAATTGTAGGCCATTTGAGTAGGCTTTCTTTTTTTTCTTTTCTTTTTGAGACAGGATCTCAGTATGCAGTTCAGGCTGGCCTTGAACTCATTTTTTGTCCAGGCTGGTCTTGAACTCATAGCAATCCTCCTGCCTCAGCCTCCAGTGCACTGTGATTACAGGCTTGTGCCACCACGCTCTACATCCATTTGGAGTTTCTCTCTTTTATAACATAGATTTTATAACATTTATTCTTTCTACAAGTGCCCAGTATAGTTTCTGGTCTTAATTATTAGGTTCTTGCAAATAAAATATCTAATATGATTTTCATTTTTCTTATCTAAAATCAGCCCAGTCAAGAACCTATGCTATTTAAGATTTCAAAAGAAGGGCCTATTGACAAGTTATCTGTGAAAAGCTACCAGAATATAAATAGATGTCTATATTGAAAGTTTAGCATGTACTTCTCAGGGAATCAGGAAGCTTGCAACATAGCTGTTGTAACTTCATTTGTTCATACAGTGCTACTTCAGTTCATGAATTTAATTTGTTCCATGATTCTTGAGAAAATAATCACATTTGTATTCATGGAAAGAGAAGGCAGCAGTCGTGTGTCAGCCATTGCAGAGTTTGCAAACAAAAAATCGTACCAAAGGCCTCTTGTTGTGCTCAAATTGCAAACAAAAGGGTTTGTGAACCCAGGTACCACTGTTCTTATTTGAAAACTGAAGGTAGTGGATGAGGTGTGTGGCTTCTACATGATGATTTGGTGAATTCAGAAGATCTTGAGTGGATGAAGCAGGAGGATTTGCATGGGTGGTTTTGGGACTCTTGCTGCTTCCACTGGAACATTCTGCTTTGTTGGAATTTTTGCAGTATAGTGTATAAAGCATGTTTTTCCCCCCTAAAAGCATTATAAATACCTGTACCCAAGATTATCAAAAACAAAACATTTAGAAAACAACCAGTGATAGCCTAAGTTACCTTTAAGTATAGCATTCAAGAAATGCATCTGTCCAGCCAGAGTGGCTGTCATCAGGAACACGGAAAACAGTAAATGCTGATAAGGAGGTGGAGTGGTGGGAGTTGGGAGGAAGCCTTCTAACATTGGTGGGAATGTAAACTGGTACAACTGGTATGGAAATCAGTATGGAGATTTTTTAAAAATAAACTAAATATAGAAATACTGTTTAACTCAATAATACCTCTTGTGAGTATATTCCCCAAAGAAGTAAAGACGTCACACTGTGCTGGTATATCTTGTACCCATGCTTCTAGTGGCACCATTTACGGTGGGTAAGCTTTGGAAGTAGCCTCAGTATCTGTCATTAGATGAATGGGTAAAGAAAATAAGGTATGTATGCACAGTGGAAAAGAACAATGAAATCATAGCATTCATTATGAGGGAGGGAAAGGAAGAAACTTGAGACCATGGTGCTAAGTACAATAAGCCAGACTCAAAGTTAAGTATTGTGTTTTCACTTGTGTAAGAATCCTAAAATGAAAATGAACATCTCACCTTCAAAAATGAAGGTGAGATGATGGGAAACTAGAAGGCAAGCTCTTAGAGTGCAGGAAGAAAGGGGGTGGAGAAGATAGAGGGAAGGAAAAGGAATTGAAAGTGATTAAGATGTTACACGTGGGGCTGGGGAGATAGCTTGGTGGTCTAAGCACCTGCCTGGCAAGCGCAAGGACCTGGGTTCCATCCCCCTTACCACATTCTGTGCCAGCCCCAGAACTCCAGGTACGCCATGCTGGCCACCGAAACCAGGTGTGGTGGTATAGGTCTGTAATCCCAGAGCTGGGGAGGCTGAGACAAGAGGATCACTATAAGCCCATGATGCGTAGCGAGACCCTGTAGCAAATAAATAAATAAATAAATAAATTTAAAAATTTGTTTCACAATGTTAAGTGCATGAATCCAAAGGAACATTACTATTGTGTATTATACACGCATACACATGCAAGAAAGATACATCTTTAAAATGAAGATAATATTTTAGAATCATAGAAATATCTGGAATGGAATGCAAATTTCTTTTGAGTTTTTAGACAAATACTTGAGTCAATAGCACTTTTTTTCAGCTGGCAAGAAAAATGAGTTAACTCATCAGTGAGAATCTCATAGCATGTGAGTATATATACTGGTCTTATATGTGATGTGAGAGGTATAACAGTGTTGACCTGCTCCGGGCTTCAGAATAGGCAGGATGTGAAGCAGTCAGGAATGGGAGGGGCTCTCCAGGCCTGGGGCGTGAGCAGGGGCCTCGCCCAGCACAGGACATGGATCCAGGTGACTGGGCTGCATAGCCATCTCCAGGTTCCAGGTTCTGGAAGATCTGGGGTGAGCTGAAGTGATTTGACTTTGTCTCTAGGTCCAGGGGTGGTTAATATATACAGACTATTGTGCATTTGGCACTTTACAGAACAGAATACAGATTTGATTCTTTTTTTTTGGCAGAACTGAGGATTGAACTCAGGCCTTCACGCTTGCCAGGCAAGCGCTTATTCTACTGAGCTATCTCCCCGGCCCTTTAGATTTGATTCTTGATAATGCCAGGTATTGTTGTTTTCCTTAGAGCAACTTTAAATGTTACGGTCATGGATCACGTACCTGTTTAAAGTGTCCTTAAACAGTAGTGTTTGATTTTTATCACTATCCTCAGTTGGGATTTCTAAAGCAGGATATGTGGTAGGGATTTGCTCTGGGTTATTTATTGGTTGGGGCAGGGATGGGGACTTCCAAAGAAAAAAGGGAGGGAAGCAGGGCAGAGAAGAGGAAAACACCACATGGTCACTGGTGCAGTTCCTCTAGTGATTAATGGGAACAGAACAGGGGCGGGGGCACAGGTCAGCATGTGTAGCCTGACCTCGCAGTCGTCTTGTGTTGAGCCATGAGGCCTGAGCCGTGAGGCCAGCACAGTGACTCTTCTAGCAGTCAGGCAGCCTTGGTGGGGTGTGGGATGACAGGGTGCAGACTTTCTGGGGAAGGCTGACTTGTTTGCTGCCTTCTTCAGTTTCAGAGAATAGACAGCTGTGAGGCACTGCAGGCCTACTTTGGTGTTTATTGATATAGCAAGTAATATATATATAGTAAATTAATTTTCTTCTAAGAAAGCTCTATAATTACCATCTGGATCTCGTAGCAGATATGCGACCTTAAATTGTGTAGAAAATCCAATAACAGTTTCTACAGTGTAATTATTTTTCTTTATAATCCTTATATATAGTCATATATGAGCTTAATTTCTTTAATTACTAATAACTGACTTTACTAAGTGCCTTCTATATATATACTGAGCCTTGTGGTGTATTTTATAAATGTTTTGGATAATCTTCCCACCAACCTAATTAATTACATTTATAGATTGGAAAAGTAAGGCTTCGGGTAGGTTCTGCTCCTTGGATCAGGTTAACATTAGTAGTAAGTGGTGGAGTTGAGATCAGAACTCTGATATGCAGACTGTGCAGAAGAAATTGAGCATTCTCTCAGTACTTTGTTCATACATTGAATAACTATTTGCATGTAGTTGTATCCTTACAACTAGCATGTGAAGTCTGGAAGTGCAAGAAACAAGAATTTATCTTCTTTGAAATCTTTCTCTAGTATTCCTAGCCAAGGTGTGGTGACACACACCTATAATCCCAGCACTTGGCAGGCTGAGGCAGGAGGATCGCTAGGAGTTTGGGCCTGCCTGGGCCACATAGTGAGTTCAAAGCCAGCCTGAACTACATAGGGAGACCTTGTCTTAAAAAAAATTAGTCAAAGTACAAGTTGAATGAGAGTAAAGCTCTGAATTCCTTATAATTATTTTATACCAAACACACAAGATTATATATTGCAGTTAATTCATTAAGTTCTAGAACACAATGTATTATTCTCTAAGGTTAAAAACACAGTGTTTTCTACTGTTGAGCTCAGAAGATTAAGAAACTATTAAAAGTTCCAGGTCTGACCAGTTAGCTCAGCATATTAAAGTGCCTGCTTAGGCAGACACAGGGATTTGGGACTACTGAGACTGGGCTTGGTGGCACATGCCTGTAATCCCAGCGCTTGGGAGGCTGAAAACAGGAGGATCACTACGAGTCTGATCTGTGTAGGGAGACCCTGTAGACCCATAAACACATTTATTTTATTTTTTTCATTTTTTTTTATTGAGAAATAAATATGAATGAGAGTTTCACAGCTGATTAATAGGACAGTTTTGATAGTCAATACACTGTACATTGTTATCTTCTTAGTGGTTATCCATAGTACAAGAAGCAGACAGGATATTCTGTCCAAACACTGTTAGTACACCTCTTTCTTCTATTGAATTAAGCGAAAGTAGCTGTAAATTT